CGGGCGCCACAAAATGAAAAAGGTTGGGAACCACTGTCTTAAGGTATATGTAAACGAGGTGATTTTCTCTCTCTCTCTCTAAAAAAAAAAAAAAAAAAAAAAAAAAAAAAAAAAAAAAAAAAAAAATCACAATAATGTCACAATAATCATCATGAACGGCTAGTAATCATGTATGTGATCCTGTTGAATTGCAACAATCATTGCACGTATATAGGGCAGAACTTTATACAAAGATTCTGAACAACAGAACTTTTCCTTTCAGACAAACAATAACCTACATAGTAGTTGCCAAACGTTTCATCATTAAAGATCTCCCAAGATCATAACAAGTGTTCTCATTTGTAGTTCTGTTGTGTATAGCTTTATCTGAAGAACAAAAATGTATTACAATTATTTAGAATTCTCGTATAATAATAGAGACGATGAACTCCATTTCTGAGAATTGTTTTTATTTTTTATTTTTTTCTTAATTTTCAATGTCTGTTATAAGACATCCATATGAATGTTTTCTTCGCTTTTAATTTGGGATTTTTTCCTTTTTATTCTTTGGTCAAACTACACTTATCACAGTGTAAGATATTCACTATATGTTCTAACATCATAACAAAAAAATGTACGTAACTCAAAACACATGAACATTTTTCATGCATGCGTCACTGCATAATCCAGATAATTGATATATGATTGTAGAAAAATGTTGACTACATATTTTGTAGCTTTTATTTCGTTTCACTGATATTTTTTTCCTGCATTGTGGATCCCTGCACCTGAGTCTTTCCATTTTTGACAGAATAAAAAACTGATTTTTTTGATTACCGGCGCGTCAGTTACCCATATCGGCCTTCACTGAAATGCATACATAGCCAGTATATGTATATACATACATACATACATATATATATATATATATATATATATATATATATATATATATATATATATATATTAGATTAATTATTTAACAGGCTATACTTTCTTTGCCTCGCTCATTCTTTTTTCGTTCACACACACACACACACACACACACACACACACACACACACACACACACACACACACACACACACACACACACTCACACTCACGGGTGTCCTC